ATAACGAGGCGCGATAAATTCTCGATTGCTCCGGAAGAAGTGCGGAAAATGCGTTTAACCGCGTACGCGCGATACGAGTTAACGTTTATTCGCTAATTAATATTATTTTTCATAGTGTTAATATTATTTTTCTTAGTATTAAGGGGATGCTGTACTCGACTGTATTATCGACAAAATTACCATTTTCGTAGTTCTGGTTTTTCGTCGCACTAATTTGACAGAATTGAAAATATTTATGTAGGATTGCAATACATACATAAATAATCCTAGGAAACTTCGATTTTATATGAAAAACGAGAAAAAATTATGAAATTACAGTTTTCCTTATCCATTTTTATCTGAATATGGCATCTCGAATTGTAGACGAACTGTCAACTCGTCATAATATGTACTTCATATAAAAGCTATATAGTTTGTATAAATGTAAAAACAAGTTTGCTTGGGTCGAATTATACGAACAAACATTGTTGAACCTTTGAAATCGAAATTAGAACTTAAATATAAAAGTATAGTATGTAGAACGATTCGTGTGTATGTATGCGTGAGTGTAGGTAAAGTGAAAATAAAAAATAGCAACAAATTAGTTCCAGGATATTACGATAGATGTTCCATCTCCATCTCCCTCCCTCCCTCTCTCTCTCTCTCTCTCTCTCTCTCTCTCTCTCTCTCTCTCTATTTGTATAAGTTATATTGAACAATAAACAACAAGATTATTTGTTCATAATAATCGATATAAATCACATACATAGATCTTATATATATATACGTATATACGTATACACATATAATTCAACATAGTTCTAAATTTGAAAAATAAGTATAATTTAATTGATAATAAGAATATTTTGAATAAGTATATTTTAATTTTAATAAATAATATTTAACATAAAGAAGAATTCCAAAATGAAAAAAAATCTTAATAAATAATATTTAATATAAATATGAATTTGAAAATGAAAAAACATAAATAATATTTAACATAAAGATGAATTTGAAAATGAAAAAATACTAATTATAATAAATAATATGTAAAATAAACATAAAAGAATAAGTATAATAATAATTACTATTCTTATTTTTATTCGAAATATTATAATTATTGATAATATTATTGATATTTAGTGTTTTTATATTGAGTGTTTTTATATTTAGGAGATATAGAAACAAGGAATAGGGAGAAAAGAATATGCTTAGTGTAGCTTTACAATTATTTACACATAATATATTTATTCATATATTTCAATATTTAATAAAGTACTAATATTACTTATAAAAGTAGCGCACCATACATTAAACACTAGCCATATATAAAATGTTTATTTTTTCATAATAAAGATTTAGAATTTTTAAAGAAAACAAAAAGACTGCAAAATATTACAAGTTATTATATAATAAGTACAGGTACAGTAAAAATCTTATTTCAGTTCTGTACAGGTACAGTAAAAATTATATTTAACTTTATAAGTAATTATAAGTTACATTAATAAGTAATTATAATTACTTATGAAATGAAATACAATTTTTACTGTACCTGTACAGAATAACGCACCATACATTAAACACTAGCCATATATAACATGTTTATTCTTTCATAATAAAGATTTATAATTTCTGAAGAAAACAAAAAGACTGCAAAATATTACAAGTTATTAAAAGTAATTATTATATAATTACTTACAATAACTTATAATTACTTATTTATATAACTTATAATTACTTATGAAATTAAATATAATTTTTACTGTACCTGCACAGAATAGTGCGCCGTACATTAAACACTAGCCATATATAACATGTTTGTTCTTTCATAATAAAGATTTATAATTTCTGAAGAAAACGAAAAGACTGCAAAATATTACAAGTTATTATATAATAAGTACAGGTACAGTAAAAATCTTATTTCAGTTCTGTACAGGTACAGTAAAAATTATATTTAACTTTATAAGTAATTATAAGTTACATTAATAAGTAATTATAATTACTTATGAAATTAAATATAATTTTTACTGTACCTGCACAGAATAGTGCACCGTACATTAAACACTTGCCATATATAACATGTTTGTTCTTTCATAATAAAGATTTATAATTTCTGAAGAAATCAAAAAGACTGCAAAATATTACAAGTTATTATATAATAAGTACAGGTACAGTAAAAATCTTATTTCAGTTCTGTACAGGTACAGTAAAAATTATATTTAACTTTATAAGTAATTATAAGTTACATTAATAAGTAATTATAATTACTTATGAAATTAAATATAAATTTTACTGTACCTGCACAGAATAGTGCACCGTACATTAAACACTAGCCATATATAACATGTTTATCCTTTCATAATAAAGATTTAGAATTTGTAATGAAAACAAAAAGACTGCATCAATTAAATACGACGGCGACAATGCAAAGAGCTACAATGACAGAGCCGATGTCACCAAGAGCGATGACGGCAATGACGTATAAATATATGAAAGAAATTGTGCATAGAAATGTAAAAATAAGTAACTGCATATTTAATTATTGCATACTTTTCTGTCCTATTGCAAAATTTTGCCCGGAGCTTAGTTTTTAAACTATAAAGGAAAATAGTTCGAATTAATAACGGAATGAGTATGAAAAGTAGGCAGGGACGGCGCGATATAAGTGATTACGTCCCAATGAGAAATGTTGGTCGAATCTACATCAATTCATGAGTGTAGCAATCAGCTGATCGCGGCGAGCGCTCCACGAAATCGTTTATATCGCGCCGTCCCTACCTACTTCTCGTACTCGTTCCGTAATTAGTTAACTATTTTTCTTTATAATTTAAAAACTAAACTGTGGGCAAAATTTTTCAAGAGGAAAAATCATTTTAGAATTCATTCAAGAATTTGATATTTTAAAGACAAACGTTTGTTCAGAATTCACTCTATATAACTTTATATTATTATTTTATTTTAATATGTATTGTACAATGTTATTTTTACAAATATGAAAATGTGATTTTAGAAAGTAAGCAATATGTCTTACATGTTCATATATAAAACATATTTAAATAAAATAATAGTATGAAGATTTTAAGTGCAATAAAATAATGAAATAAAATAACATAAATAATCAGTGTTTTCTAACTATACTACAAATTAGACTACAAAATAAAACTAGACTTTTATTAAATTTTAATAAATTTATTAAATTATAATACTATTCTTATACATCTTTACTTTAATAGGAAAAAATAAAAAAAATTTATAGAAAACTTAAAAAAAGAATAAAAAAGAATAAATATTATATTATTATTTAAAAAATTAAAAATTATATTTCCGCGGCCTCCTCCTCTTCCTCTTCCTCCTCCTCCTCTTCTAAAAAATCTGCTTCCTCTTCTGAAACCTCTTCCTCTCTCTCTGCGAGCAGACCATTTATATCTATAAAACATAAGAGAGAAATATATTATAGCTTGATAAATAGAGAGATATAATTATTTTATATATTTAAACACACACACACATGCGCGCGCGCTCTCTCTTACACATACACGCGCGCGCGCGCGCGCGCACATGCACGCACGCACGCGTAAAATAACAAATACATTCTCATAAATTGATATATATACATATATAAATCCGAAATTTAATAAATATACTTTTCATCACGTTCGGCGCGCCTTACACCAGCCCGACGCTGCATGTGGGATGATGGATCCTGCTGCTGTTCCCTTGCATCATCCTCGTGCTGTTTTTCTCCTTCTTTGTTCTACTGTTTTTCATCATCATCATTCATATCATCAGCAGAAAAGAAGCTGAAAAAATAAATATAATAAATATATTTTTGTGTGCATGTGTAACTTTAATATACAAATAATATTTTAAATATATAGGGTAGACCATTTTCATCAATGATAAGAATCAATTAATGTTCAGAAAAAATATAGTTGTTTTTAAGAAAAAATATAATATTTACTGTTAATTGCAAATTACATATTTTTTCTTCGAAACAACTATGTGTTTTCTTTACACCAATTGATTCCTTTCATTATTTTGTACATAAAAGTATTAAGATTAGATAATCGAAAAATGAATATTTTATTAGATATTTTATGGTTTATGTAAAATTAAGAAATGATTTCAAGCCTCATAACTCGAAAAGAACTCAATGAAGAAATACTTTATTATAGTGTTTTGAAAAGCTCTCGAGATAAGCTATAAGAATAAGTAATAAAAAATAGTGGGTTCCGTTTAAAAAATTAAAGATGACCATAATGTGACCTTCAAACAATTATTCATGGTCAAATATTTGCCACTATTTTATGTCCTCCTTCGAGTCAAATACTTTTATCTGAAATATTTTTTTTTTAAACTTCTCCTTTTCGAGATATTCGCAAGTATTGATTAAAATAGTCTACTCTGTCTATTATATATATTTTATATATATATATATATATATATATATATATAAAATATATATAATATATAAGTCATAATATATATAAGCAAGTTTGACGACATCCCCAATAAGCAATCATAATAAAATGTGATTTAAACTTAATTCAAAAAATAAATAAATATTATTAAATTTCTCTCTGAAAATATTATAATTAAAATTAATGCTATAAAAACAATAAATTTAATTCTCTTTTTATAATTGAATAACTATCTAAAATTCACATTCTCAACATAATTGAATAAAATGAATAAAAATCAAATTTTCATAAAAAACTTACACATATATATATATATATATATATATATATATATATAGTTTAATTAATAAAACTTTAATTTTGTAAATTAAAAATATTTTTAGAAATGATAAGATATATATATATATATATATATATATATATATATATATATGATTACTAATTTGTATCTAAATTTTATAATAAAAGTGCTGCAACCATAACTATTCTGTCTACAAGCTTATATAATTATGCTAAACATACCTTCTTGCCCATCCTTTCTTTCGAGAAAGTCGGAGGCGGGAAGGATATTTGTTTTTTAAGTCTTCTTTCATTTCGTATTTATTGCTGTAAGAGAATAAAATAAATAATAAATTTAAAATAATAAATTTTTTGAAATATTATGGGGGCGATTAAAATTAAACGTCCTGTACATAATAATAATATTTCGTAATATCACAAATAAAATTAGCAATACTTACGAATAAAATTATACAATTACTGAATTGTCTAATTATACAATGTTGTTCGTTGGCTTCGTTACACGACACATACATATGTACACTTGGCAACGTTGGATCGTGCACGTGATAAGCGAAACTTATGTTATAAAAACGTATTTTCTTATTGTCTTATTTCATGTATTTCAGAGAATTAATCAAGTCGTGCATATAGTAAAAAGAAAAGTATGCAATAATTAAATATATATAATGAAACAATCGCGCATTTAAAATATGTGTTTAAAGAACAGCAAAATGTCAGACAGAAAATTATTTCAAAGAAAATTATATTTTTGAAAGAAAATTATACTTTAGAAAGAAAATTATTTGAAAGAAAATTATACTTTAGAATGGAAAAGGACCTACATTTTTCAATGTATATCAATTTATATCATTGCAATGATTAATTTTAAAAATGAGGTCTATACATATGCCCGTAAGGCGAAATAATTACGTTTGGAGTTTCGTAAGGCAGTGGTTGTGGGTGAGCCGGTGCTGCGTAAGCCGGTGGTTGTGGGTAAGCCGGTGCTACGTATGGCGGTGGTTGTGGGTGAGCCGCTGCTGCGTAAGTCGGTGGTGCGCATGTAAACGGCGCTGCATAAGTCGATGGTGCGTAAGTTGGTACATAAAGCGATGTTGGTATTGGCGATGGTGCCACATAAACAGGCGGTGCAGGTATCGGTGGAATACGTGTCGCGTATTTCGCTTTTCGCCGTAGAAATTCTTCTTTTTTTATTTTTTTCCTTTCTTTGGCGACTTCCCGAAGCATGACTTGATTAATTCTCTGAAATACATGAAATAAGACAATAAGAAAATACGTTTTTATAACATAAGTTTCTAAAAACATAAAGTGTCTTAGCGTTATATGGTACATTAAATTAGTAATTAAAAATAAATACGAATTAAAAGAATAAATGAAAGATTTTATGATTATAATAGATTTTCAGATTACAAAGAATAAGAGATAAATGTTATTATTATAAATATATTCTAATTATATTTTTAAATATTTACAACTGAGCGACCATACCTATCAATATTTTAATAAAATTTTGGACATCTCTAATATAATATACTTTTCTCAAAAATTTCAAAAATCCAAGTATTATTTACAGACATATTTACTGCATCATAGATATATTTACATAGACTGTTCATAAGGTAGCAAAGAGTATCCTCCTGAGAGAAAAGGATAGCATGAATTTACTTGTGTATCTATCTTTTTCTGACACATGCGTAATGCAATTTCAAGTTATTGACTTTAATATCTTTACATTGCACCACGCGTGTACCAGAAAAATATAGAAACACAAATAAATTCATGCTATCTTTTTCTCTCAGGAGGACACTCTTCGCTACCGTATGAGCAGTCTATGTTAATATATCTATGATCTGCATGCAGTAAAAAGAAAAGTATGCAATAATTAAATATGCAGTTACTTACTTTCATATTTGTATGTACATTTTCTTTTATATTTTCATACGTCGTCGCCGTCGTCGCCCCTGATGACATAGGCTCTGTCATTGTAACTCTTTGCATTGTCGCCGTCGTATTTAGTTGATGGTGTCTTTGACTCCGTAGACTTTTGCATCGTCGCCGTTGCTGTTGGCACCGTCGTGGATGTTGATTTGCGACGATTCATCTCCGAGTTTGCTTCCCGCCCTTTTGCGGATACAAGCGGAGAGAGAACATTTCTTATTCTCTCTCTTGGTTCATTTCTTCCTGAAATAAATATACATTAATTAATTTTTACGTATATATGTCTATCAAACATCTTATTTTATACAATAGTCTTCAATTACTATGTCTCATTACTATTGCTGTACCTAACCAACAAATATTATTACAATTAACATGGTTATTTATATTGTTTCTAATGATACTCTTGTAATATAAATAGCTAATAAATTTCTAGACTAATAAAAAGTACCTAATGATTATTAGTATTACTACTAATAATATAATATTTAATATATACGAGCGCAGTACTTACGTGTGTTCATCTTGCGACGGATGGAATATTACTGCACTCGGTACACTGCGATTATCTTCCGGACATGTTTCGCACTTGTTTCGGACACTCGCTTATCACGTGCACGATCCAACGTTGCCAAGTGTACATATGTATGTGTCGTGTAACGAAGCCAACGAACAACATTGTATAATTAGACAATTCAGTAATTGTATAATTTTATTCGTAAGTATTGCTAATTTTATTTGTGATATTACGAAATATTATTATTATGTACAGGACGTTTAATTTTAATCGCCCCCATAATATTTCAAAAAATTTATTATTTTAAATTTATTATTTATTTTATTCTCTTACAGCAATAAATACGAAATGAAAGAAGACTTAAAAAACAAATATCCTTCCCGCCTCCGACTTTCTCGAAAGAAAGGATGGGCAAGAAGGTATGTTTAGCATAATTATATAAGCTTGTAGACAGAATAGTTATGGTTGCAGCACTTTTATTATAAAATTTAGATACAAATTAGTAATCATATATATATATATATATATATATATATATATATATATCTTATCATTTCTAAAAATATTTTTAATTTACAAAATTAAAGTTTTATTAATTAAACTATATATATATATATATATATATATATATATATATATATATGTGTAAGTTTTTTATGAAAATTTGATTTTTATTCATTTTATTCAATTATGTTGAGAATGTGAATTTTAGATAGTTATTCAATTATAAAAAGAGAATTAAATTTATTGTTTTTATAGCATTAATTTTAATTATAATATTTTCAGAGAGAAATTTAATAATATTTTATTTATTTTTTGAATTAAGTTTAAATCACATTTTATTATGATTGCTTATTGGGGATGTCGTCAAACTTGCTTATATATATTATGACTTATATATTATATATATTTTATATATATATATATATATATATATATATATATAAAATATATATAATAGACAGAGTAGACTATTTTAATCAATACTTGCGAATATCTCGAAAAGGAGAAGTTTAAAAAAAAAATATTTCAGATAAAAGTATTTGACTCGAAGGAGGACATAAAATAGTGGCAAATATTTGACCATGAATAATTGTTTGAAGGTCACATTATGGTCATCTTTAATTTTTTAAACGGAACCCACTATTTTTTATTACTTATTCTTATAGCTTATCTCGAGAGCTTTTCAAAACACTATAATAAAGTATTTCTTCATTGAGTTCTTTTCGAGTTATGAGGCTTGAAATCATTTCTTAATTTTACATAAACCATAAAATATCTAATAAAATATTCATTTTTCGATTATCTAATCTTAATACTTTTATGTACAAAATAATGAAAGGAATCAATTGGTGTAAAGAAAACACATAGTTGTTTCGAAGAAAAAATATGTAATTTGCAATTAACAGTAAATATTATATTTTTTCTTAAAAACAACTATATTTTTTCTGAACATTAATTGATTCTTATCATTGATGAAAATGGTCTACCCTATATATTTAAAATATTATTTGTATATTAAAGTTACACATGCACACAAAAATATATTTATTATATTTATTTTTTCAGCTTCTTTTCTGCTGATGATATGAATGATGATGATGAAAAACAGTAGAACAAAGAAGGAGAAAAACAGCACGAGGATGATGCAAGGGAACAGCAGCAGGATCCATCATCCCACATGCAGCGTCGGGCTGGTGTAAGGCGCGCCGAACGTGATGAAAAGTATATTTATTAAATTTCGGATTTATATATGTATATATATCAATTTATGAGAATGTATTTGTTATTTTACGCGTGCGTGCGTGCATGTGCGCGCGCGCGCGCGCGCGTGTATGTGTAAGAGAGAGCGCGCGCGCATGTGTGTGTGTGTTTAAATATATAAAATAATTATATCTCTCTATTTATCAAGCTATAATATATTTCTCTCTTATGTTTTATAGATATAAATGGTCTGCTCGCAGAGAGAGAGGAAGAGGTTTCAGAAGAGGAAGCAGATTTTTTAGAAGAGGAGGAGGAGGAAGAGGAAGAGGAGGAGGCCGCGGAAATATAATTTTTAATTTTTTAAATAATAATATAATATTTATTCTTTTTTATTCTTTTTTTAAGTTTTCTATAAATTTTTTTTATTTTTTCCTATTAAAGTAAAGATGTATAAGAATAGTATTATAATTTAATAAATTTATTAAAATTTAATAAAAGTCTAGTTTCATTTTGTAGTCTAATTTGTAGTATAGTTAGAAAACACTGATTATTTATGTTATTTTATTTCATTATTTTATTGCACTTAAAATCTTCATACTATTATTTTATTTAAATATGTTTTATATATGAACATGTAAGACATATTGCTTACTTTCTAAAATCACATTTTCATATTTGTAAAAATAACATTGTACAATACATATTAAAATAAAATAATAATATAAAGTTATATAGAGTGAATTCTGAACAAACGTTTGTCTTTAAAATATCAAATTCTTGAATGAATTCTAAAATGATTTTTCCTCTTGAAAAATTTTGCCCACAATTTAGTTTTTAAATTATAAAGAAAAATAGTTAACTAATTACGGAACGAGTACGAGAAGTAGGTAGGGACGGCGCGATATAAACGATTTCGTGGAGCGCTCGCCGCGATCAGCTGATTGCTACACTCATGAATTGATGTAGATTCGACCAACATTTCTCATTGGGACGTAATCACTTATATCGCGCCGTCCCTGCCTACTTTTCATACTCATTCCGTTATTAATTCGAACTATTTTCCTTTATAGTTTAAAAACTAAGCTCCGGGCAAAATTTTGCAATAGGAAAAATCGTCTTAGAAATCATTCAAGAATTTGATATTTTAAAGACAACAAACGTTTGTTCCGAATCACCCTGTATATATTTATATGTAATTTCATACACAATAATCTTCATGTCAATTGTTAGCTACTCATAGAGCATTTCCAGGAGACGCCACGTGGAGGCCAATTGACACATAACCCGAAATTCTTAAAAATATAAACATAATATTTGCTAATAAAAAATATAAAAATGTTAATATCTTGCATTTAAAATTAATATATAAAAAAAGTAAAAAATTATGTTTTAATTCTAAAAAATTCCGAGTTAACTGTCTCCCAATTTATTCGATCTGCCATAAGGCCACGAATTTTTACATATTTTATACTCGTTCCGCATAAAATACCGCGAGTAAATGTAAAATAGTCAGATCGTACCGCTCGAAGAGCCGCGATCGTTTTACTCGTTCCGCATAAAATGCCGCGAGTAAATATAAAATAGTCAGATCGTACCGCTCGAAGAGCCGCGATCGTTTTACTCGTTCCGCATTAAATGCCGCGAGTAAATGTAAAATAGTCAGATCGTACCGCTCCAAGAGCCGCGATCGTTTTACTCGTTCCGCATTAAATGCCGCGAGTAAATGAAAAATAGTCAAATCGTACCGCTCGAAGAGCCGCGATCGTTTTATATATGTAGTAATGGTGATTTTACATATGTTTTATGTTCTTTAGTTTTTGACATTTTGTCTTTATTTCTTTTGATCTTCCAGATACTGTATTTATTCCTTCTCTTCCTCCATTGTTATTCTTTTTTGTAATTGCATATATCTTGACTCTTAACATAAAGTCTAACATTTGAATTCTATGTGAATAACACTCGTTGATATGATTAAACCAATCTTCATCATTATGCTGGACGTGTTTAACACAAATCTCAAGAAACTTTTTCTTCACATCTTTGAAATACCAATATTTCTTGTAACATGAATTTATTGCTTCAAGTTGTAGAGTAATAATATTCAAAAATGAATCCGTTGGTCTTGATAGCCACTCTATTTCAGGATCATCTTCGTCTTCATGTTCATATTCACGTAGCTAAATATAGATTTCATTGTCATTTAATTCTTCCATCGGTGTTTTCAAATTTTTTTCACGGCAGCTGTGGCACTTTGTATTCTTGTAACCGTAGCGAGCAATATATCCTGCAAAATATGAAATTGCATTTCTTTCATATGCCTCTGAATGTAAGTTCTCCTTGTTGGTCTTTGTTATTTCATCTAGATAGTCGGAATTGTGTTCCAAATATTTTGTAATTTCTTCAAAGGCTGTCGCGATGAGATTATCACAGTCGTCATCCATTTTAGTTAAACAAATTAATTCTTCTTGTAATGTGTTACGTCCAGGCCCGAGGAAGGATGGGCTGAAGGAAGGGCGTAACACGTGTATCCCGAGAACAGGTGCCTTAAGGGCAAGTGTCTCGGGTCGAGCGAGCCTGCGGGTGAGCCAAAGATAGGTCAACGACCACAAGAGTCGATTTTACGCTATTTCTGGTCCAAATGCCCGCTCGTCGGTCCCCTTTTCGGTAAAGGAACTTAATCCTTTTTACCCGGGACGGGACCAAGTGCGATTCAGGAGCGTGGGTAACGAGGGGGGGGGGAATTGATTAAGTTGAAGTTAAAAGAAATAAAATTAATTAAATTTATTGTACATTACAAAAAGATAAAATTTACATAAACATTTTAATTAGTTATTACTCTAGCACAATATTAAGTGTGATTGTTTGTATGTTTGTGGGTACATTAAGCGTGATTGTATGTATGTGAGACGGGGTGAGGGGGAGGAGCTTTGAAGATAAAAAGA